TTTTTGCTTACGCGTAAAAGCACATTTAGCGCATTTAGCTCTAAATGCTACTCTAAATGTACATTTATCCATACAAAATTCGTCACCTAAATGCAACTAGATTTTTGCATTAAGAATCTAAATGCTAAAAGCAACCCTGTGATCTTCCAAAATTTTCACGATTCGAACATGGTTTAAAGAGAAAAAGTGGCAACATTGCTTTTTCGAGTATACATTTGCTAGCTGCGTTTCAGTGATCGCCGATCGAGATTTCTTTTATTTTGCATTACATATTTGGATAAAGAAAAGTTAAGCAAATTCAACATCGATTTGATGCTGATAGAAATCTGGATCAATTTGTGATCAACTCTGTTTGGTTTGTTTCCTAATTAAGTGAGGAAATTTTAATTGACAGCACCGACAAATGAATATATACACAAACAAATGTTCGGTTGTGGTTAAAACAATTCAAGTTTTAGTATTGAATTTTTGGTTTAAAATTTATTTTTTTCCTTTTCAGTAGGGTTTTTGCACATTATCTTCTGCGAGAGAATTGATCGTAATATATACGCATCTAAATAAGAGACTGGAACACGGCTGTTTGTCAAACGCACGCGATTTCGAACTCGCGAACTTTGCTAAATGCTATAGCATGAACGCTCTTCGAAAACATATGTTCGAAAGTGCTAAATGTTGCATTTTAAATGCAGCAAAAACGCTGCATAACCGAACATTTGTTTGTGTATATATTCATTTGTCGGTGCTGTCAATTTAAATAAATAAATAAATAATTAGGAAACAAAACAAACAGATTTGATCACAAATTGATCCAGATTTCTATCAGCATCACATCGATGTTGAATTGGCGTAACATTTCTTTATCCAAATAATGTAAAATAATAAATGAAATCTCTCTTCTCATTAAACCATGTTCGAATCGTGGAAATTTTGGAAGATCACAGGGTTGCTTTTAGCTTTTAGATTCTTAATGCAAAAATGGAGTTGCATTTAGGTGACGAATTTTGTAAGGATAAATGTACATTTAGAGTATCATTTAGAGCTAAATGCGCTAAATGTGCTTTTACGCGTAAGCAAAAACAGCCCATAAGCGTTTTGTCGATGGCGACATGATTTCTTTGAACGCGGCAGCGACATCATGAATTTGTATGAGTTTGACATAAAAGAAGAGGAAGAACCTTATCTGTCGCCAGAAAAATAGAAATAGATCTAATCTGGCCACAACCACAGCCGTCGCGTAGCCCGGTCGTGGCCAAAATAATTATCTACATAAAAGTACGTGTTAAAATAATTTGACAGCTGTGGTTTGTAGCTCGTCGTTTTCATTGTGTTCGGGCTAATACAGTTGCTAGCTGCGTTTCAGTGATCGTCGATCGAGATTTTGTTTTATTTTACATTAGATATTTGGATAAACAAAAGTTAAGCAAATTCAACATCGATGTGATGCTGATAGAAATCTGGATCAATTTGTGACCAACTCTGTTTGGTTTGTTTCTCAATTAAGTGAGAAAATTTTAATTGACAGCACCGACAAATGAATATATGTATACACAAAAAAATGTTTGGTTATGGTTAAAACAATTCAAGTCTTTTATTGAATTTTTGGTTTAAAATTTATTTTTTCCTTTTCAGTAGGGTTTTAAATAAGAGACTGGAACACGGCTGTTTGTCAAAAGCATACGATTTCGAACTCGCGTAAATGTACATTTGCTAAATGCTATAGCATGAACGCTCTTCGAAAACATATGTTCGAAATTGCTAAATGTTGCATTTTAAATGCAGCAAAAACGCTGCATAACATTCTTATTTTAGTTTGGCCAGCCAACTAACAATAAATACGAAATAGCGTATTAAAGAGGAGAAAATACGACTTCCACTTCGATAAGTAATCGAAAAAAACTAGTGCAGACACCGATTGGAATGAGTGGAACGTGGGTTTTCAAGTGGTTTTCAGCGAAAACAAGTTTTCGTTTGACAGATTTTACATGGGCGAAAACACAAGTATTCGGTCGAAACCCAGTTTTACCAAGGAAAACATGTTTTCGATGTCGGTCAGAACATGGTATTATACGCCGTTTCGGATTTATTGTTAATTGGCTGGCCACAGTAATATTAGAATTAGCCAAACTGGAATCAAAGGATGTTAGAAATGTCAACGAAAACACTAACAGGCCACAACCCCAAAACTTGTTTTCAAAATGTTTTCGTTGTCGGTCAGAACATGGTATTAGGTCGAAAACCTGTTATAGCAACGAAAACATGTTTTCGGTGTCGGTGGGAGCATGGTATAAATGGGAAGGATTAAAAAGGATGGCACCTTTTTTGGCACTTTTTTTTCTATTCGGTACTTTTTTATCAATATGGCACCTCAAAGCTAAAGGTGTTGGCAGCCCTGTTCCGTTCACATGCATACTTGTTTGACACCTGTCAAACTTATTTGTAGTTTGGGCAAAACACGTGGGATTATTTGTGGCGTGGAATTACGGGTGCTGAAAATAATTTTTCGTGAATTAAGTGACATATTTCACAGTAAATATGGTTTGTATTCAATGAATTACTCCAAATAAACTTGTGCAATACTTTGTGTTTTATAGTCGCAACTCTACGTCTTGTATGAGCATGCTGCGGGGTTTTCCCTATTTTCGGTCAAGGAATTTGAGGAAGTATCTATGTTCCTCCCTCAAGTGGAGGCATCCGTAACCGATGTTGCTAAATTCAATTCCATCGTAAAATTGGTGGGCTTTTCCCCATTCAAAACAGCCATTGCAGCGCTCGAAAATATCAATGCTATTTCGGAAGGAATTGCACCCCAAGATTTATTGGTTTTTTTAGATGATTTTTTCTCTAAGCTAAAGAAGAAGAAATGTACGCTGGGCATAGCTGATGCCAAGTTGGGCGCAGCTATAACTGAATCCATTGGGGTACAATGTAGCCATTTTGGGGCAGTACCAGAAATTATTCGTGGAATACGATTCCACTTTCACAGACTGGTTAAAGGTGAGTATTCCACAAAAGGTAGAGGTTCTTATTTATTAAAAGTAATTTGGGAATTTTTGTGTTTTC